TTATTATTTCAAGGGTAAGGGGAAATAAATCGGGATAACAGGGAATATATCATGCCATACATTATCACATATTATCTGTACCTAAACATATTATTACATTAAGAACTTTTGTGTCTGTTAGTCGCCTATATACAGTACTACCAGCTAAAGTTATTTGACTATTTTGTTGTCAAATGTGATCACATTTGGCTTTCAAGTTATAGAACGGATCCAGTTATATATAACAGTGCTCCCCAACCTTTTTAGCCCTGTGGACTGGCTGGGGAAGGCAGGGCACCCCCTGCACTCGTGCGCATGCGCAAACAGGCTGTGTAGGGGGGGAGTGCATGCAGGAGTGGGGGGAGGTCTCTTTCCGCTGTCCAGTCCAGCTCAGGCCACGGACCGGTACCAGGCCGCAGACCGGGGGTTGGGGACTTCTGATATACAGTGGTGCCTCGCAAGACGAGCGCTCCGTTTTACGACGAAATCGCATTATGATGAAGTTTTTGCAATTGCAAAACGATGTTTCCTATGGGGGAATTTCACTTTGCAATGATTGGTTCCCTGCTTCGGGAACCGATTCTTGCAAAATGACGATTTTCCTACAGCTGATCGGCAGTTTCAAAATGGCCACCGGGTAAAAAAAATGACTCCCCGCTCTTTTCTGGGATGGATTCCTCGCTGCACAGGCAGCGAAAATGGCCGCGCTATGGAGGATCTTCGCTGGATGGTGAATTTCAAGCCCATAGGAAGGCATTTATCGGTTTTAATGCGTTTCTATGGGCTTTTTAATTTCGCATTACGATGTTTTCGTTCTACAGTGATTTCGCTGGAACGAATTAACATCGTAATGCGAGGCACCACTGTATCGGGTCCCATTTTTCAGTTGCTTCTTGGATTGAATTGCCTTTCAAAGCTTCTGTTAATATATATATATATTTATTGATTTGATTTGATTTGATTTGATTTGATTTGATTTGATTTGTATCCCGCCCATCTGATCTAATAGACCACTCTGTCCATCTCCCCCACTTCCATCATCTTTTCCATAAATTCTTCATGGTTTTTGAATTTCAGTTTTCTTCCATTTCCATGCGTATTGTATGCTAGCTGCAGTTATTACGTATATGTATTACCAAATGGCTCTCTCTCGTATCCAAACTCTCTGGCAACATAGTTAATAAGTTAATATGTTATAGCATAGTTATGTTATAGTATATTAACATAATGTATTATGTTGTCAGAGTTATGTTATAACTCTCTGGCAACATAGTTATAACATAGTTATGTTATAACATCATATGTTATAACCTAGTTATCACATAGTTAATATGTTGCCAGAGAGTTCTCACCCCTGGGCTCCCTTTCTTTCTCCTCCCTTGCATGAAAGGAAACCCCAAAAGAGATGCTAAAATCCACCTGGCCATTGCACATGGAGAGGGCGGCTGCTCAAGTGTGCGCTTAGGGCCCACCATTCCCACCAGGAGCGCAACAACCAAATGAAAGGCCTGCTTGGCAGGCGAACATTTAACACGGTTTGTTATCTGTGACGGGCTTTTAAAAGGAAGGAAGCTTTTTTCGCTGCTCACCCATGACGGAGACGTCTGGGTTTCACCCGAAGCCATCCATCAGCATGACACCACGCCAAAGTCAAAAAGGAACATAGAATTTTTTGAAACAAACCAGACGGCAAGAAGCCTTCCCTACCTTATCCTTGAGCTTTTCCATCCAGCTTCTCACTAGAAAAGAAACAGCCTAGATGTTAATTGCAAGCCGTGAACGACCACCGTTAATAGCGCAAGACCGACAAGAGGGGATGCTTTCCACTACATCTCCCAGAACCCTTCAGCACACTGAAGGATTCTGGGAGATTCTGGGGACTTCTGGGGAATCTGTGACCAGGGAATGCTGGGACTTCTAGTCAAACCATGCAACATTTCTAAGCTCTTTCCACGTCTCCCAAACCAGTTTTCTAAACGCCAAGAGAAGGGGATAACTTTTTGAAAATATCCCCACTATCACTGGGGAGCGATAATGAATAATAATATCATACATGGTTTACTCTTGCAGTGGGATCAGAGTGGCAGGCTGAGCTGGCGAGATGCTTCCCCGCTACAATGGGATATCTCATGGTGTTTTATCATAGGCATTTTCTCTTTTAATGTGGTTTTACGGCCGAAGAAGCAGCAAATGTAAAGAGAAAAGTACTGTATTTCCTATGCAAAGGGAATAACAACAGTAATATCAACAATGCCAAGAGACCAGCTCAGTTCAGCTCTAAGCTTTCAGCCATGAAGCCACGTACAGGGTCACTTGCTGGCATTTGCAGTATTTTTAAAAAACGTGCTATTTACAAGATACCCGAGTGATAGATCAGCAGGCGTGCCTTACGTTAAAGCTGATGGAAGTAAAAAATTTGTCCAGATGGCACTGTGGATAGAGGAGCCTCCCGCAGGAATTCACACTTGTGATCATCAATTAAAACAAGTCCCTTGCACGTATGTAACGTTCAAAGGCTAAGGAGACTCAGAAAGGAGCTCTCCATCAAGGCAGTGGAGATGTAAATTGATTTTCTTTATGTGAAACTGGCGGGGTAGCTCAGTGGTTGAGGTCTCCGGCTGAAGAGCCACAGGTTGGGAGTTCGATTCCCCACTTGTGCCGCCTGGGAGAAAAGCTAGCCTGGGTAGCCTTGGGCGAGCTGCACCGTCCCAAGGCTGCCCCCTAGTGGAAGGGAAGGATAATACACTTCTGAGTCTTCTCTACCTGGAAAAGGTCACCATAGATCAGAATTGACTTGATAGCACATGATCATTATTTTTTACATGACCCAGAAGGACTGGGGCCAGATAGCAACTGAACAGATGTGGTATGTTAAGTATAGCCCTCCAGATGTTTTAGGGCATCGTTTCCCATTAATCCTAGGGTGCACGGGCAGTGGTGAAGGATTATGGAGGTTGCCATCCAAAAACCTCAAGAAGGCCACATCTCGCCACCTGTGCTCTAAAGGTTTATTACTGGAATTTTTGACTTCCCCTAACATTGATGCCATGATTCCTGCTCAGATCTGCCATCATGGCCCCAGCTTTTAAATTTTTTTCTAGTAGACTGTGCTCTTTCTTTAACACTTTTCAAACACCTGCAGAGGAAAGGTCAGGATGTGTTCTTGACCATCCTCGAGCGCAGGGCACACAACAATGGGCTCAAGTGACAGGAAGCCAGATTTAAGTTGAATATCAGGAAAAAACTTCTTAACTATTAGAGCAGTATGACAATAGAACCAATGACCTCAAGAAGTGGGGAGCACTCCAGTGATGGAGGCCTTCAAGAGAAAATTGTACAACCATCTGTCAGATCTGCTTTGATTTGGATTCCTGCCTTGAGCAGGGGGTTGGACTAGATGGCCTTCGACGCCCCTTCCAACTCAATTATTCTAGGATTCTATGCCGGCAGAACATGCAGGTAGGAAGATCTCAGTGGTGGTTCTTCTCATGTGCCCTCATGCCACCTCCAACTTAATCGCAACCCATGATCTGCCACAACTTCTCCCGTTAACAGGTCACGCAATCTAAAGATTATGTTTAGTCTTCCTCTTTTCTCCTGGCAGCCCACTTTTCTCAGCATTCTTCTCTTCTCTAGCGTGTCTTGACTTCTTGTGGTATGCCGAAAGGATGATGATGATGATGATGATGATGATCCCCTTCATCTTGGAACTGCAGAACTGTCAAATCCTTCACAACCACTATCCTCAGATTGAAGTGGGAGGGGGGGAAAGACAAAGCTTAACTTTCCAACATTTATTCCTTGAGGGACATAGAGTATGTCTCCTGCGCCTTTCGAAGATCAAAATCCAACTTGTGAAGATTTTTCCTATCATGACGCCTTCTTGCCCAGCATTCTTAACCCTCAAATCATTGGAGCAAATGTCGAGAGTTGGCAGGGTGTCCTCCATCCCCCTATGGGGGGGCCGTGGTGGCGCTGCGGGCTAAACCGCAGAAGCCTGTGCTGCAGGGTCAGAAGACCAAGCAGTCGTAAGATCGAATCCATGCGACAGAGTGAGCTCCCGTCGCTTGTCCCAGCTCCCGCCAACCTAGCGGTTCAAAAGCATGCAAATGCAAGTAGATTAATAGGGACCACCTCGGTGGGAAGGTAACAGCGTTCCGTGTCTAAGTCGCACTGGTCATGTGACCACGGAAGATTGTCTTCGGACAAAAACGCTGGCTCTATGGCTTGGAAACGGGGATGAGCACCGCCCCCTAGAGTCAAACATGTCTGGACAAAAAAAATTGTCAAGGGGAACCTTTACCTTCACCTCCATCCCCCTATAAATCCCCTCGCTGTGTCTCCTTTGGACTTCTTTCTCAAAGCTGGTGCTCCCTGATCCTTACTGGGCACCAGTCCCTGTCTTGGCCCAGAGCTGCAAATTACTAGTAACCCCCCCCCATGGCGGTCTACAGCCTCTGACCTCTTTCTTAAGCAGGGACCTCAGTTCCTGGCTGCTTTACGCTTGAGAAATTGGGAAGCAGAGCAATCTTCCCTTGGCCTGGTACGCTGTCAGCTCTTCATATTGCTAATTGCCTCATTAGCCACTCCAGAATGGCTTGATTCACCTCCCTTTCTCTGTGTTCGTTCTCTCCTAGAAAAGGTGCCCTCTCTCCATCTCAGGCTGAAATCATCCTTGATTCAGACTTACACACACAAACACAAAAGAGATACGTACTGGTCTAAACGCAGCAATTAGTCCTCATCAGAGAAGACCCAAAGAATCAGGAAACAATAAAAGAAATTATTCCACAGAAATTAAACTTTAAACCAGAAATTAAATTAAACTTTAAACTAGAAATAGCACTACTGGATATTATGCCAGAAATTATGGATAAGAAAATAAAATATTGCTAAGCTACTCTGGGCCCAAAAATGGAAAAGTGAAGAAATACCTACGATGGTGGAGTTTCTAAAGAAGTTGTTGGACATTGCAGAGTTAGACACACTTCCAGAAGCGCTACGAGAACAACCGAGAGACGATGTAAAACAAAGCTGGAAGCTAATATATGTTTGGGCACAGAAAAAGACAGAAGTTTAGGGCAAAACTTTGTGTGTTATTTCTTTTCAATGCTCACCAGAAACCCTTTGGAGAAATCTGAGGTCCAAACAATCTCTGTCCTTAAAGGGGGGAGGGTTTGTTAATTTTTTTTAAATTTTGTATTTCTGTAGTAATTGTTGGATGTTAGGTGTTTTGTATTTTGTATGTTTAAATAAAAAATTGTTTTAAAAAAAGAGAAAACCCAAGGAATCAATAGCCTCTTAGCATCCCAACCCTTATGTAAATACCTTTGCTTCAATGGACTTACTCTAGTTGGGGGCTTACGAATGGATGTAGGCCATTATTTCTGTAACGACTGGTCATTATTATTTTTTAAAAATTAGCAGATCTTGGGAAAGTGACTTTTTTTTATTATTATAGCTGCTCCAAAACTGGTCCCGTTGGCTGCGGGACTGGGGGAATTCTATTGTAAGAACGTAATTTTTTTTTTCCTGACTCTGCAAACAACAGCATGTTCTTTTCGTTGCCTTCCATGGTGCTGGAGGTGACTGTGTGCATGCCTTATCACACTGTTTAACTTAGATCACTTTAGAACTCCAGAGCTGGAAGGGACCCTGTGGGTCATCCAGTCCAGCCCCTGTTCAGGATGCCCAGTGGGGGGAATTGAATTCCCATCCTCTAGATTTGCAACCAGAGACTTAAGCCACTAAACGTCCTGCCGTGTGTCCTGTAGCTGAAGTTCTTATGTTGCTTTTCCCTGCTTTATTGATTGTTCTTTTTTCTCTAGGGTTCTGTTTTGAGCAGATTGGAGAATTTTGTTATTGTTATGTCACAAATATTACTAAGGAAGTAAATAACTAATGCCTGCTGCCCCCAGATGCCTGCTGGCCTTAATAACCCAATACAGTCAGAGTCGAGGCCAACCTTAATTTTAATTTGATAAAAAGGGTCTGCTGTTAATCAGGTCCTACATTTACAGTATGGTACGAGGGTACGCTGGAGAAAAGACCGGTGGATGTATCGACTGAACTGACCTACAGCTACCCTGTTTCCTCTAAAATAAGACCTAACCTGAAAATAAGCCCTAGTATGATGTGGTGGTCCTGTGGGTTAAACCGCAGAGGCCTCTGGGCTGCAGGGTCAGAAGACCAGCCATCGGAAGATTGAATCTGATCCAAGTGTGTAAAAATGCAAGTAGATAAATAGGGACCACCTTGGTGGGAAGGTCACGGCGGTGCGTGTCTAGTCGCATTGGCCAGGTGACCACGGAAACTATCTACGGACAAACGCTGGCTCTATGGCTCGGAGACGGGGATGAGCACCATGCCCTAGAGTCAGACATGACTGGACAAAAATTGTCAAGGGGAACCTTTACCTTATGATTTTTCAGGATGCTCGTAATATAAGTCCTACTCCAAAAATAAGCCCCATTTAAGTGAAACCCCATCCTCTACCCTTGTGCAGCAATCAGAAGAAGATGACAGGACTGCATTAGATGTTTGTGCATGACAAAAATAAAACAACCCCTGAAAATAAGCCCTAATACGTTTTTTGGAGTACAAATGAATATAAGACACTATCTTATTTTTGGGGAAACAGGGTATATGGCCAATACGCTGGGCTACGGATCGGTGTCATGGCCTGTCTATGGAATGGCATTGAGGAAATCTTTGGTTTGCTTCATACGCAGCACAACGG